AGATTCTGTCATCTGGCAAAGAAAACTGTGCATTGCCGTTCAGTGGAACTGAACCCGAGCCGGGGAGTCCCGGTAGCTTGTCTGAGGTCTTGGTGGGCGGGTGGGGACTGTGGATGGCCATTCTGTTGTCAGAGATTGAAATGACAGACACTGTGGGGAAGAGTTGGGGGAGATGACCATGTGGAGGAGATGACTGTTACAGACGTCCTGGGATGGGAGGCAGCATGAGGAACAGAGGGGAGGCCAGTGGACTTAGGGAGTGGATGAGGCCAGAGAAGCTGGAACAGGTGGTGGGGGTTTGTACCGTGTGGGTGAGGCCCATGGGTCATCCGAGCTAAGCTTGGGAGCCTGGCAGTGGGTGCCTGGAGGATGGAAGGGAGAGTGAAAGTTGGTGGTCAGTCAGGAGCTGGGGGAGCATGGGGGAGCGTGGGGGAGGGGAGGGCCAAGGCAGTCAGAGGAGGAATCAGGAGCTGCTACTCTGCTGCTCTTCAATTCTGTATGACATAATGTAAAATTAGATACATAGTTATAGATGTAACTAGAGGGATTTGTCAAATTAGGAATAAATTACAGGAGCTAGAGAGATGGCTCAGTGCTGCTCTTCAGAAGACCTGGGTTCGGTTCCCAGGACCCACACAGCAGCTCACAACCATCGATAACTCCAGTTCCGGGGGATCTGATGGCCCTTTCTGACCTCCATGGGCTCCTGCGTGCACAGGGTTCACAGACATACATCTAGGCAAACACTCTTACACATGAAATAAGTTTAAAGAAGAGCAAAACATATGAGTTATTGTTTAAAATTAAATTATATAGAATTATCACACGGTCTTGCCACTCTACTTCAGAGTCTACCCCCAAAGAGCCAAAGGCAGGGGTGCGAGCACACATGTACCTCCATGTGCACTGAAGCACTGATGATGTTTACGGCAGCCCAAAGGCAGAATCGTCGCAAGCGTCTCCTGAGTGACGAGTAAACTGTGGTATGTCCATACACTGAGATGATTGTCACAGTTTGGGCTACAGAGTGTGTTCCAAGCCAGCCTATGCTGCACAATGAGACCCTGTCTAAAAAACAAACAAACCAGAGTAAATAAAGAAAAATGCATTCCTAGATTAGTAAAGCGAATTATGTAGGGCCAGTGAGATGGTTCAGCCAGTAAAGGCGTTTGCTGCTGTGCCTAATGATCTGGATTCAGTCCCCAAAACCTGCATGGTAGAAGGAGAGAACTGACTCCCGCTGACCCTCCATACATGTTGTGGTGCATGTGTATGCACACCCACACAAAATTAATAAACATAATTTAGAATAAATAAATTACTTGAAGTAATTTAAGGAAGACTCCTGAGCCACATCCCAGTCGGTTGTTTACATCTGTGTGGGAGAAGTGCCGTGTTCCTGACTTTGGCTAAGATGTCACACTGACAGCTTGGAGCTGGCCAAGATGGGAGCTCCTGTCTCGTAGGCAAATGCTTCAGGTCCTGCAAATGCTAGTATTTTTTTAAACCCTTAGGTTGCTATTGTTCAATAGCATCTAGCTAGACACTAGAGAAGGGTGGTTATCCTGGTCCCCAGACGTTCCCGTGGTACCCTGGCCAGCCATTTGATGTTGAGGATGATGGAAGAGGATTTGTAGACCCTTGGCTTGAGCATCAGGTAGACCACAGTGGGTCTATTTGCCAAGATGGTGACTTCCACAGCTTAGGGGCTGTGTAAGGTTCCAAACAAAGTCCACTTGTAGTGTACCTGCAGTGTGACAGGCCCACATGGAGATGAGCTGTACGGGTTCTACCCTTGAGCAGTCGGACTATGAGAAGGCCGGTCCTGTCACTCACTGGAGCATCCTGTTCCAAAGGCGCAATAGTGCTGGGCAGGGAGCCACGACCTCCCTGAGGAGGCCACCCCCACTGCTGAGTCGCTTCCGGCTGAGGCTGTACCTGGGCTCAGGGGTCAGGGATCCTGAAGTGCACGCCAAGCGGCTGTTTCCGCAAGCCTTTCCTGCACCCTCTTTCCCAGGCTTTTCGTGCTCCCCAGGACTGAACCTGTAGGCTTCTTCCCATGCAGTCCCCCCACCCCCCAAAAAAAAGGAAAGGAGAGAAAAAAAGGGTCTGACGGCACTCCCATCTCTGCAAGTCGGCTAGTCCCGTTCTAGTCCCTCCTCCAAGACAGCTGCCTGCCTGAGCAGTCCAGCCCACCACCTGCACCAGGTGACTTCTTAGGCGTCTTTGTCATCGGACTCTCTGACCTGATGGGTCAGGTGTTAGCTTGGGTCTGGCTGTACTAACTGCTGCACACTGGCTGGCTTCACACCACACAATAAAGTGGTTCCCTCCAAGGCCAGCATGCCACATACTCTCATGGTGTCTGCAGGGCTGTGTGCCATATGGCTCCAGGTGAATCTTGGCCTGTGGCTGCGGCTGCCCCTCTCTGCTCTGACTTGAGAGGGTTTGTCTCTGTTTTCTTTTCTATCTTTGATCTGGTCTTTGAATCCAGGACACATGTTGATCCCAGGTAACCTCTGGGATGTGCCTCAGCTGTAGCACATCTGCACAGACCGGTAGGCTGTGTCTGGTCACATTCTGAGCATCCAGCAATCATATGTTGTCTTTGGGGGTGGACAGGCGCTGGGACACGCCTGTGAGCAGGCAAGCCTTTTGGTGCATTTCCCTTGGAGCTCAGCATCCCTTTGGTTAGGTTTCCTGCCTCCTCTTAGAGCCTGGATTACAGAACTCTGAGCTCTACACTTCTTTCTTCAGCTACACTCAAGGCCAGAGCCCCTTTATGCAGCCCAAGACCCTAGGAGGGGGAACTGGGTGGCCAACCAGCCTTATAAAAATCCCAGAATGCCACAGCCAAGCATGCTATCTAGGGGACAGTTGGGGACGATGAAAGGGATTGGAGGTGGGGGACTGGTTCAAGCTGAGCAAAGCCAAGTGGCAATTGGATTGTCCTGGAGTTTGGAGAAGGTAATTATGGTGAGAAGGGAGGTGCCCTGCTGTTTCCCATGTCCTCTAGGGACAGAAAGAAAAGAGACACAAGGGTGGACTTCCTATTGGGAGGGTGGCCAGACCTGCCTTGGCTTTTCTGATGGAGGAGCTTAGACATCTAGTGACTTCCCAGGTCTGATCTATGGGCTGACGGTCACAGTGAAGGGATAGGAAGCCGAGGGCTGGGTAGCTTGAGTACTGCAGTCACTCTGGCAAGGGGTGTTCTGGCTGTGGAAGTCAGCTCCTTCTTCCATTGTCCTCTGGAGTCCCTGAGGGGAACACTCCATGAAGCCTGCACCCTGGCTGGGCTCCCTGTTGGAACACTGGTGTGCTTGGCTCCCCTGCATGGATACCGACTGAGCAACAATGACTTAGTCCCTGCTAATCTGCACTTGCCCTGGGGAGAACAATCGCACGGGTGTGTCTCCACTTACCAGGTGATTTCTATAAAAAACACCAGCGAACAACACCCGCCCAGGTTGGATGCTGTCCCAGGGACCCGGCATCTTCCCAGGGCTCTGTGATACGGGCCTTAACTTCTTAGATTGGACCCCGACATCCCCAAACTCAGGACAGACAGGTAGCCCCGCTGATGGTGGGACTGCCAGGCAGGGTCAGGTCCAGACAAAACAGCCATCAGGGGTGCACACTGCTCCTGGAAGTCAGGCTTCAGAAGGATTCCTGCGCGTGCGTGCGTGCGTGCGTGTGTGCGTGCGTGCGTGTGTGTGTGTGTGTGTGTGTGTGTGTGTGTGTGTGTGTGTTAAATGGCCATGGTTTTGCAGTTCCCATGTCCACAAAGCTTACTTGGTTGAAAATAGTTTAAACCATCTGAGGCATGAGGGAGGGAGGGGTGGATTTTCTGAAGAAGGAAGGACTGTATTCCAGCAGCTTAAAAACAAAACAAAAAAATCTCACCAGACCTAGCTCAGGCTTCGCTACTCCTACAGAGGCCCCCCCCCCCCCAAGCCTCACCTGCCTCTGCAGGACCCAGCCCACCCCCATTACCACACTTTTAGAACGCTGGAGTAGGGAAAGAGCAGACCCAGACCCAGGACAGGTCAGGGACGAACATGTCACCACTGAGGGCTAGGGGGTGGGCTACCCACCCACTTGGCAGGGACCCGCTACTAAGCATCCTTCCTTCCAGCCCTGGCTGCACAGAGGTCCCGGGTCTAAGGTAGCGCTCTGGACAGTGGACGGGAAACTTGTTGGCTCAGTCAGGAAGTGGAGAAACACCCCGACCTCCCTGGGGACCCTTCCTGGTAACTGGTGTCTTACTTCGGTGTCTAACCCATGGTTTTATCTGACTGCCCAGTGATGTCTGAAGTGTGAACACTACTTGGACAGAGAAAGGCCAATCTGTGGGTGCCCACTGACGAGGAAGGGGCCCAGGAGCAGCTCTCTTCCTTTCTTCTGATGTTAGGAACTGTGGTTCTCTCTTCTGGAGGGAAGGTCGCGGTCCACTCTCTGTACTCAGGAAGCCCGTACAGCGGGAGGGGGAGGGGTGCTGGAACGATTCTTCTGAAGGGCCGCCTCTCCCTGCCCTATGCCTTCTCCAGCACCGCACCCAGAGGGTGCAGCAGCGACCCCCGGGAGTGCAAGGGGGTAGCAGTCCTCGATGTATTGGATGCTGGGGGACTCCCGGGACCCTCAGCTCAGTAGTCAATAGTGTAGGGTCCTGTGGACACGCACTGGCCCAGCGCTGCCGCTTAACCCTTGCAGGCCCGGTGCTCTTACATGAAGGAGGCGCTCACGAACTTTGGCTGCATAAATAAAACCTCCGGCAGCAAGAACACTGCGCCCAGGGAAGGGGAGGAATCTCGTCCCCCTCGGCGCCCGCCCGCTGCTGTGGCCCGGCCTCCACATCCTCCACATCCGCCCACATCTGGCCGCGGAGGGGCGTGAGGGGGAGGGGCCGAGGCCGTGTCTGTCGCGGTCCCCTGGGCACTCTCCAGGAAGGGAGAAGGGGGGGCAGCTCAGGTCGTGTGCCTGGTACTCCGCAGTCCCTGTAGAAGCTGCTCTGGTTCCAACCCCCCCCAGGCCCAGTTTTGACAGGCGTGCGCAACAGCCAGTGCGGAGTCGCCAAGGCCGGCGGGGTGCGGGAACCTGATCCAGCCGGGAGGCGGGGGCGGGGCGGGGGCCCGGGTGCTTGGGGAGGGGCCGGCGCCCGCCTTCCTCCCCCATTCATTCAGCCGACCGTGGGGGCCGAGGGGCTCGGGCGGCCAGCTCGGCATTGGGAGCGGGAGCGCGCAGGGCCGGGGCTCCGCGGGACTCCCTGCGCACCAGCCACCATGTCCGACCCCGCGGTCAACGCACAGCTGGACGGGATCATTTCAGACTTTGAAGGTGGGTGCCCGACCCCGCTTGGCGAGCTGGGCAGGAGCCTCCAGGCGGGCCTGGGACGGGACAGGGGTGAGCACAGGAGAGGCAAGACCCCGGATTGCTCACCCCGGGGCTCTGCGTCTCGGACCCTGTGTTGCCTACTTGGAGAGCCCCATTAAGGGATCCGGTAGCTAATAGACCCTGTAGTTGGGAACCACGCACCTCCTGGGGACCCGAGGTTCACATTGCCTCTGGGGTGTTCTTCCTTTTATTGTTGTTTGTGTTTGCCCAGCGACTGTCGCCTCCTCAAGGGCTGGCTTGACTACTTCGGAACTACACCGGGGAGTGCAATTCCACCCTGGAAACCAGTGGGCTTTCTTCTTTGGGTGCTCGCCCTCAGCTCTCACCGGCGTGAGAGTTAGTTCCCCTCCTCGGATCCAGTGGGCGGCTGAATCCTCAGGGTGGACCGTCCTCCCCTCCCCCACGCCAGCTCCAGGCTTGGGGCTGAGCCCATTCCCGGGGCTGGCAAGGGCTGCCAAAGTTGATCAGCCGGCAGGCCCCATGCATCCAAGGGGATCCCAGCCTGGCGAGTCTCAGGGTCCAGGGTGGGATATCCCATTGCCCAGATCCAAGCCTGGGACATCTTTATCCGTCTGTGAGGGAAGAGCCTTTTGGGACAGAGGGGGTCTGTGCGAGTGCAAGAACAGCACTTTCGTCTCTTGTCCTGAGTTTACAAAGTACAGAGATACTTGGGGGCCGTTTCCTCCAAGGGTGGGCCTGCCACCCCCGCCCTGGGGTTGCATGCGCGCGCTTTCCAGAGGCCTCGTGATTGCCACTGCCGGTGCCGTGGCCCCGAGTCCTGCGTCCTCTGCCGGAGTAAATAAAGCCAGTGGAAAGGGAGACTTACACAATGGTGTCCCGCGCGCGTCTGGGGCTGGGTTTCCGAGGGGCGGGCCTGACTCTGCCGGGCCTGGAGCCCCCGCCCCTCTGAGGGGCTCTCAGGCAGCCTTGGGCAGAGCCCTCTGGTGGGCTGTGAGTGAGGGAGGAAGGGCCCCACAGAGTTACAGCCAGCCAGCTTCCAGGCCAGCAGCCCTAGCCCTGCAAGTGACCAGTGGGGGGTGCTCCAGGTCCCATGGTTGGAACCAGGGGGGTTGTCCTGAGCCCACCCGAGGTCAGCCTTATCTCTGAGTTGGGTGACTTCTTCGGGTACCAGAGCCTTAGCTGTGTATTGGGGTGTGTGTGCCAAGAGTCTGGGAAGTTGGCTGCTGGTGTGTTGGCAGGCGCGCGCTGTGAGGAGCCTGGAATATCACACCCACTTGGTCGCCTCAGTGTTGGGGGCAGTTTTTAGATTCTAGCACTTCCCATCTGTGCCAATACAGGGCAGAGCTGCTTCTAGGCAGAACTTGTGTCCCTGACCACCTGGACCTCTTGGAGTCCATGTCTATTCTGGGGTCTCCCAGGCTGGTTTTGTTCTGTTCTGTCTTCTGCGGCCCTAGTGTCTGTCCAGGCTCCTCTGTGCATCTCTCCTTTGCCCTAGGGCCTTTCATTCTCTTGTGAGTGTAATCTGAAAGTCAGCCAATTAGTTCCCTTCTCTGAAAGTCGGGGCAGGGGGGCAATCTGGGGGGGTGACCACCTTTTTCAGGTCCTGGTCTCTGTGTGTTTGCTATCTGCTCCAGACCTGGAGGCATTCGGGCCTCTGCCTTGATTCTCTGAGGAGCTGGAGATGGGGTTTCTGCTGAAGGTCTTGTTGGGGAGGGAGAAGTTTGGGGATTTGCAGCTGGTACCCTTGCACTGTGGAGGCTGGCTGTCCCCTGCCTCTTTGGTCTCTCTGTGTAACTCTTTCCTTACTATGTCATGCCCCGACTGGGCTGCCTCCCAAGCCAGTTTCTTGACCCTCAAATTTAATCCAAGACAATGGCCTCATTGAGGGCACCCTGGCGTGGAGGTTGGCAATCTTACGGGAGTAGGGCCTCTCGTCTCTGCTTCCCTGTGTGTGCCAGTCTTCCTACTGTGGACCCTGAAAAGCTCAACTGGGGAATGGGGTCAGGTCTTTGAGTGCCTAGCAATTACTAGCCCAATAGTGAAAGCTGTTGTTAGGTGTGTGTGTGTGTGTGTGTGTGTGTGTGTGTGTGTGTGTGTGAATGTGCATGGCACTTGTGCAGTAGAGGCCTTGTACACTGAATGAAGGACCCAGAAAGTGGCCTCCTAAGTGTCCTAGGAATATGGTGTTGAGTTGGTATGTGGAGAGGGTGTCCATGTGGGGGTTGGAGAGCCCAGGACAGCTGGACGGGTGGAGGGACATGGGGAACATGTGACCCAGCCCAGCATGGGTGATAGAAGCTGGCAGTCTGAATCCAGGAAGGGAGAAGTTGGGAGATGGAGAGATAAGACCTTGAGTGAAAGTGGGAATCTGTGAAGAAAGAGAAGAATTCTCTGGCCAGCCTGCCCCACAGGCAGTGAGCAGCGGAGACCTCGTGTGAGGAGGGGCCAGCTTACAGCGAGTGCTCAGAGGGGCCCAGCCACAGAAGGTCAGGTGTTCCCTGATGCTCGCGTGGCCAGAATCAGCTGGAGAAGCGTCCATTCTTTGCTCAGGCTTCCACCAGCCAGGTGTGTGGGGCTCTGCCAGGTAGCTGGAGAAGGGAGGGGGGAAAGAGGCAGGTTGGCTGCAGCTGCTGGGACCCATGGTCCCTTTGTGAAGCTGGACAGACAGGCTCATGACATGGGGCACTGTGGTCTGCTGAGAGGGTGGGACCCAGGTGCACCCTCCAGGGCAGGGCTAGCTCTGAGCTTTGTGTATCTCTGGGGGGTGGCAGTCTGTGGCTGGCAGCTGTACCAGGCAGGAGCCACCTGTCGGACAGAACAGAAGGGAAGTGGCCCAGGTCAGAGCAGTGTGGTGTGGTCACAACCATAGTGTGTGGTTGTGCTGGAGGAGCAGTGCAGACAGGGCTTGTGTCTTTATCCCAGTCACAACTGTCTTCTTGTTGGGCACTCATTTCTCCTTCCATTTTTTCATCTATTTCATTCCATCTGTCCCCACATGTCCCCCCAGGAACCAGGGGTCACATTTGTGATCATCATTGGAGGTCTTGTGGGGATTCAGACTTTTGGTTTTCTGTCCCTTGGAACTGAGAGGGTAGCAGGACCCTCCAAGGACATGAACTTCCTGTGTCTGGGTATCTGGCCTTTGTGTCCCTTCAAGGAAGGTGCTCCCTGCCTCCTCTGTCCCATTCCCCAGGGGTGAAAAAAGTATTTCTTATTTTGCTGATTCAGGTTTTAATCTCGCTAATTTCTCATCTGTCTGTGATTTCCTACTTTCGTACTTTTCAACATAAAGGGCTTTTAGTTGACAGTGGAGCCCCCTCTCCCCCATGAGATGACTCTGGTACCCCCCTCTCCCCCATGGGATGACACCCGCCACTCTCTGTGACTGGGTGGTAAGAGGGGTCACCCCTTCCTCTCTCCTTTCCTGGTCAGCAGAAGCTCGGGGCAGCTGGATAGTGTGTTCCTGAATGAAGGCCAGATCTGTTACCGCAAACACAGTTACAAGCTGAGTCCTTGTGTGACAAAAGCCACTTTGAGTGCCAGCTGTTGGCCTACTCTTCTCACCAGTGTTGGCTGTAACCAGTTTTGCACGCCCAGAACAATCCTGAGAGTCAGTCCTTGATGTCTGTTGAAACAGATCTGGCCCAGAAGCCCGGACGCTCCAATTCGAGTGGCAAGGCTTTTCTCTGATGTTCTGGAGGAGGCTCTTATGCACTGGGTCCTGGAGGGCCTGTGGTTCTTCTCTCCCTCAGTAGAGAGGTGGCCAAGAAAGCAGGGACCGTGCAGACACATCTGGGACAAGGTGGTGGTGATGGCTGGACCCAGATGCCACTTTGTTCCCTGAGGAAAGGCCTGTTGCTTGCAGGTAGCTGTAGATTTGTTCTTTTAATTAATGCCCGTGGGCCTTCTGTGTGATGAATCCTAAGATTTCCAGCCGACACTCCAGGCCCCTGGGAACTGCTGCCTCCCTGCCATTAGTGCCTCTGCAGCCCCTGAAGGGGCTGAGGGGGCTGCTGAGAGGGATTCCAGGGCACCAGGGCTTCCTGCAACGAAGGGGGCTGGCCTCTTTTATGACTCCCAAAGCTTTTGACATCCTCAACTTGGTACACTAGGTGAGCCCATCAATCATTCCCATGTGAGCCGGTTCATTAGACATTAGACAGGGAGGGTAGGTGTGTAAGCACCCCACAAAGGGTTACCTGAGCCCGACATCTAGTGAGAGGTGGGACACACCCTCTCTGAGGGGCAACATCCTGGAGTCCTTTCTGGGACATGTGACATTTCAGGAAGGGTTTGAAGGAAGCACTGTGGCAGGGAGTGGGTTTGGAAGAGGCAAGAGTTTCTACTGAGAGAGAGGTCTTGTGAGGAGTGATGGGTGGCAGCCTGGGCACCTGGTGGCTGACCCCACTCTATTGTTGGGGAGCTGCGTGGCTCAGGGTGAGTCTCTCAGCTCACTCTGAGCCTCTATCTGCTTCTGGGTTCAGTGGGGTTGTGAATGATGCTCTGCTAGGTTTTGGGGGACAGTCTGTGAGATATAGACAGTAGCTAGTGCTGGGTACAGAACTAGCTTCGTGAGGTCTGGGGGGCTGCTGTGACTGTTGGAACTGAGAGACATTTGCACAAGACGTATAGATCCTAAGTGCTAGAAGGTCTTACAAGAAACTGAGCCCACTGTGGGACAAGATTGGATGACATGGTCACCACTGGTGGTGGTGACAAGTCCCAGGGACTTGGTACCCACAGAACCCTCCTAGGAATCTCTGACCTTAGATGAAGCACAGTGGGGGTGGGGGGCCTGCCTCCTCTCTGGCTGGTATTCTCCATGGAGGTGTCCCATTTTCCCTGGAGGTCAGGGTCACATGGGGTGCAGGGTCCTTCTTCCTGGGGGGTTGTCCTAGAGTATCTCAACACCAGAACATCACAGGTGAGGGATACTGTATGTCCCATCTGCAAGGCCACAGGCTGACAGCCGAAGGGCATGT